TTGATTTTTTGCGCTTTTTTGAACAGGAGCTCAGTGCATTCGATGAGTGCTCATTTGTTCAAGTGGTCATGACTTGTTTCCACATCGTCATCAATATTGTTACCGCTCCTATCGTGATGCATACTATGAAATGTTCAATGGAATGTGCACACAATACAATAAACGCGCAGATAATTGTTTCGCAATTGGCGGCTTGTGAAGCAGATGATGTCGTTATCGGGTGTCTCGAAAAAGCTTTGCAAATTAAGGAAACATATTCCCTGATAGACGTTGGCTGTCGACTATTACAAGTCGTGTTCACACTTTCAACAACTACAAGTGATAATACAAAGAAACGATGGATAAGTGTAGCTATCTCAATTCTACAAAAAAATTTCTCACAGCCAATTAAACATGAGTTCCTGTTTGGCGCCACTTTGACGATTTTATCACGAAACAAGGAGACGGTTGAAGTCACTAATGGACACTATACCAAATTGACAAAGTTAATTCTTGGATTTCTGAACAATTCGATTCAACACGTACGCAGCTGTACACTACTTCAAACAGAATGCGCTGGCGCAATTCAAGTGCTGAAACAATTGTTGGAGGCGTTCGTTTCTCTTCCAGATACTTTAGTATCAAGCTGTTTAGGGGTGCTGGGGAAACTTATAAGTGTATTTGTGCTGTCACCTTCGACTACGGCACATGATCATTTACAAGTGATTTATGAAACCATTGCATCATTTGCGTCAAGAGACTATTTAGGAAGGCTGGTGAATCGGTTAGGCAAATGTATACGGGATGAAGAAGGGCTCGAGGGTGCCCCAATGATAGACATGGTCGATGAATTTGAGGCTCTGGCAGCATTGCTTTACTTTAACCTTGTAGACAAGAGGATATATGGAAATCACCCCTTAGTTACTTATCTCGCTGCATTAGTTGAGAATTACAATACATACACGCAAGTTTTGGGAGATCACGCACAATTTTTTCTGGAGTTAGGATGCCTAGGCACTAAATTACTATCGAAGGATCGACGAAAGGAAGTCATCAATGATGCCTTGTGTCAATTTGCTGAAAACGCACATTGGCATTCCATGCGATGGATAGTTGCACTGGCCGACAAACCTTTAAGTGGGGCTACTCTTATTGTTGAATATGTGCTTCTTCGAATAGTTTCAGGCTACACGATCCTCAAAGCGGCTTTGTTGGCGGAACATTTGGATGCCTTAAGCTACCTACTTCGCTGGAATTCATTCAGAGAATTGGTGCTGGCTTCATCTCATGTATTCGAGCTCCAAAGTGTATTGTGGCAACTGGTGCACGTAAATGATGCTTGGTCGGATATGACATATGATGGGTATGACGTCGCGGTTTCTCTGCTTAACACATTCAGTTCTCTTCTCTCCTTTCAACCGAGTATTATATTCTCGGGGCAAAATGAAAAATTCGAGATTGAATTACTTGTGCGTTTCTGTCTCAAATCACTGGACGAAATTCTTTCAGATTCATTGTTAGATGTGATTCAGATTACATCAATCGAAAACGTCTATTTGTCAACAAGTATTATTTTGCAACACTGTATTCAGCGTGGCGCAGAACACGCGCGCTGTATAGTTCATCATCGAGTTACAAGGCATGCTTTTCAGGATTGCGAGCGCCCAGGGTGCGAAAGATGGTGCTTGGTAGTGCTAAAAACTGTGATTGAGTCTCATAATCTCATTTGCGCTAAAAAGCTGCTGCACTTATCCTTAAAACAAGCAAACATTATGATGAGTCTCGCAGAAATACTTACGAACACAGACGTGTTATCACAAACTTTTTTTCTGGATTGTTTGGCACTGGTGGATGATTCGACAAAGTGGCAATCGGATTGTGTTATATTATTTAATATGTTACATCAACACACCAGCAACCTTGTTTCTGGGCATGCTAGTATACTGAACTCTCGTCAAGTGAACTATCACATTTCAAGTGCTATTGCTCTGCTAAGTTTCAAGTACGTTCAACTTTGCTTGAAAACATTGCGTAATGAACTTGAAAGCTGTGTCCAAGCTATCACTCAGTCTGTATTATCTTTCAACCATCTGTTCATGTTAACACCAGCTTTTACCACCAAAGAGTATTCTACGATCGTCAGTATTCATCTTAAGATTGTTTACCTTGCTGCATTATCCACGACTGGAAAAGACAGGGACATCAGTATCGATTCAACAGACACGTTAGGGCTTGTACTTGGTCCAATGTGTATATCCAATGAAGCACTTGCTGTATATTTCGACTTGGCTGTCATTACGTATCTATTTTCGTCAGTTCAAGCAGCAACATGGCTCTTTATTGAAGCTATGGCTCCGGTCTTGTCTAGAATTATTGAAAGACTTGCATCTGGGTCAATTCGATCAAAGTGCCTGGAAAGAAGTCTATTGAGCTATTTTACGTCGCTTCGAGCTGTATTGGGAACTAAATGGGAGAGTAGAGAAGTAAACCAAGTCTTAAGGCTTCTCAGAATATGTTTGTTCGATAGATGGTCCCTAAACCATCTGCTTAAAGCAGTCCTCAGCCTGCCAAAAGGTCTTTGTTGCCTTTTTGATCTTGCCCGAGTAGCTCCTAATCACGATGCAAATGTGATTTATTTTTTATCTCAACATCTTCGTGCCTTTCGTTGCGAAACACAACGTATCGGTGAGCTTGAGTTAAGTACGCTTTTGTCAATCGTAAAATGTTACTGTGCTGGGAACGCTGGAGACACTTTCCAGCAGAAAGTGGAAAAGACATCCGGGAGTGAAGTTCTGCGTCGCGCTCTAAAAACGCTTAAGCATGTTGCAAGGCAAGAAAATTATGCGAGTCTTTGCTCTGAACTCGGCACAATCAGCATTATGTACGATGTTATATGTGTACCCTCTCAAAATCAAGACGCAACAATTTTGGCACTTGAGATTTGTTGTTGTTTAGCTCGTTTTGGACATGATGTGACGCATGAAAGCTTTACTATAGCTCTCCAGCGCTTGCTCGTTCGCATTGAAATCAGTGACACTAATATCCGCTCTCATATGGCATTTCTCATTCTCGAAATTGTCCTATTCGCTGAAAAATCTGCGCTCAGCTTATCATTGATTCAGCAATGTCAAACTCAAGTTGTACCAATATTATCGCAGTCATCTGGGAAGACTGCGATGTATACTAAGGAGTTGTACATTGCCAGTCAGAAGCTTGTGTCGCCTACACGAAAGCCAGGGCCACAAAACTGTGACTTACTCAAGACAGAAAATAAGTCGTCGGCTCTTCGACAATACTTGGATAGAGGCAAAGTGCGCCAACAAATTATATCTAACTGCCAAAGTCTTATACAGAGCTCGGATCAAATGGAAAAAAATACGTTACCTGATTGTCTATCTACTTTTGGAAAAAGCGGGGTGAAAACACTTGAATATGTTCCCTTATGCAAAGCCATTAAGCAACTTAGCTTTATCCTGGATGATTTTAACATGGTGATAAATTGTGATTATGTATCGGCCCTTGTTCCGGCATTGAGTACGATTCTCACCCTACATAAGGTTACGAATGCAACAATGTGCACTATCATGCAAATACTGGATAAAATAGCATTTGCGAAGCCATCGATTCTGCTACTGAATAATCAGCTTGACATTCCAGCGTTGTTTTCTTCGTGCTCGCTACATCATCGCTCGTCACTGCTTTTTGCAGTGAATCTTTGTCGATTTTGCAACAGCATTGGTGCAGAACTGAAAACATTGACAGAAAATAAATTTAAGCTATCTCTCGTCGGATTGATTTCTTTGTTATTAGAGCTTCTGCAACATTGGAGGTCGAACTTTGAGATTGTTGATCAATGTATTGAGCAGTGTGAGCGTTTTACTGTGATCAAGTTCATCGTCTGTATTGTCGTCTTTC